CATTATATGCCTGTATATCAATTTATACATTCAGTCTTTGCTGGACTTTAAAAAAAAGAGAGAGAGAGGAAACTTACAAGTAGTTGCAGAACTGCTCTGTAGACTGGATTGGTGGTGTCTTGGTGATGTCAAGTATGCTAGGCAGCTAGTGCCCTCTGAAGCCAGATTTTGCTGAAAGTTTTCCAAAACTCAAACCATGAAAGAGAAAAATAAGTGTGCCCTGATTATGACATAGATGCTGCCAAAATCATCCCTGCTGCACTGCTGCAAATGTTACATCTGTCTTCACCTTGGGGTGCATTAGTTATTGCCAGGGCTCTAGTCGGGGGGGAGCTCTCAGGTACAGAGCTCCGGAAGAGAACCTCTAGGGGGCGGGGCGGTCACGTGGTGAAGCCCCGCCCCCTTCTTTACCCCGCCCTCTGCTTCGATCCTCATTCTGTTTGGGAATGAGGATGAAGCAGGAGGGTAAGTAGCCGGGCCTTCTGACACACTTCCGGTGATGTCAGGGGGTGTGGCCTTCTGTCACTTCCGGTGATGTCAGGGGGCGTGGCATATGCAAATAAGTTATGCTAATGAGTTATGCTAATGAGCTCCGGCAGCTCTTTTTCTACAACAAGACCCCTGGTTATTGCCATGAACCTGCTATCTAATACTTGGTATCTAATATTATGCTCAGATCAAAAGTTGGCTGATAATCATTCTATGCTCCTTGCATTCAAGTACCGTACATAGTTCCATCCTAAACAGAGTTACACCCTTCCAAGTTAGGGTTGCCAACTTTGGGTTGGGAAATAACTGGAAATTTTGGAGGTGGAGCAATGGTAGGGAGGGGTTTTGAGAGGGGCAGGACCACAGTGGGGTATAATACCACAGAGTTCACCTTCCAAAGCAGCCATTTTTTCCAATGGAACTGAACTGTCTTGCCAGGAGGTCTCCAGGCCCCACCTGGGGGTTGGCAACCCTATCAATTGGCTTCAGTGGACTTAGAAGGGTATGTCTCTGCTAAGGGTTGCATCACATGTGTATCGGATTTAGTTGTGTACAGCTGTTGTCAATTGGGGGGGGGAGTTCAAGGAAAAGTACTCTCCTGTTTCTTTTTTCTCTTTTCTTTCAAATTCTGTTTCCGAGTCCAGTTATATATATCAGTCTTTGGGCAGAATTAATGCTACCATATGTAGAAACAAATATTTACCTTAGTTGAATTGTAATCTCTCTGTACAGGGAAACTAACCAATAACCTCCACAATGTAATACAGTCCTTCATCCTTTCTGTCTCCTTCCCATTGGCGCTGCTCTACTCTGGGGAATCTCCTACTATGGAGAACCATGCTCAGTTAATGCTCTTTGTAGACCCTTTGCTGGGTATAGGCTATAGACTGGAGTGTACCCATATTTTATATAATATACTAGCATGTATCCAATCACGCAGTTCCAAAACCTGAACAGCACTAGAAACGAGTGTGATGACATGACTTTACTGACCTACTACAGACTCCCCCACACACACTTTACACACTACACTGATCTGAGGATCCAATGACACCTCCCCCTCCCGGAAACAATATTTGGGGGCTCAGTGGCCGGTAAGTGGGAAGGGCAAGTGGCATCCACAAATGTCACACACACTAGCATTTTGTAATCATTATATGAAATGGCCTTGAGAAATGCTATTGTCCTTTCCATTTTAAACAGTACATCCCCACCTTGTTTCAATATATTCAGCTGAAAGCAACTAACGGCATTTATGATATTAATATTCCATCCATTCTTCTATACGAAAACGAGGACCATTTTTATAACAATTCAGGTTTTCGTATCCTACATAATCACTTAAAATTACCAGTAGGTTTTACCTTGACCAGGCTGTCTGATGAAAAGCTTATCCAAGAAAGTTGACATTGGCAGCTTGGGGTGGTGGTGGTGGTTTGCGATTATGACATCATCAGTGACTAATTTAGACAGCTGAGAGAGCGTATAGTGCTCTTTTTTATTGCCTTTTATTGCCAGAATCTCTCTAGAATTACAATCCTTTAAAAGGGGGTCTATTAGTCCAATGTTTCCCCTTGGAGGCTCTTGGCTGAGCTGCTTTTAAAAGGTAGTATTTTCGAACAACAAGGCCATGTGCACCTCCAGAATTCTATCTCCAGTATTAGTTTTAGACAGCTTTCACATGAATCTAATACTTTGATGACGTCACCTTTGTAGAACTGCTTCACCAGTTTCCAATAGGCTCTGGCAGGAAAGTCAGAGAAAGAGGTGAGGTAGAATCCTCATCTGCCTGCTCACTCCTGCCCCGATCCAGGAACGTCTCTGAATTCAGGGCTCTTTTTGTAGAAAAAGCCCAGCAGGAACTCATTAGCATAATAGGCCACACCCAACAGCAGGAACTCATTAGCATATTGGGCCACACCCCTGACAGCACAGCTCATTAGCACATTAGGCCGCACCCACATGTTACCAGAAGTGTGGTTATCCAGCCACACCCACCTTTTGCTTGTTATTCTGTTTACCTTGTTTGTTGTCAAAACCCAGGGCCTTTTTTTGTAGCAGGAACTGCTTTGCATGTTAGGCCACACACCCCTAATGTAGCCAATCCTAATGAGTCTCTGCTGTTGGGTGTGGCCTATTATGCTAATGGGTTCCTGCTGGGCGTGGCCAACTTGGGAGCCAGCCAGAACTCCGTTCCTGTGCGTTCCTGCCCCAAAATAGCCCTGTCTCTGATGAGTTAGCTCCACAAGGCTTCATGGACACAGGAACACACATGAAACTTGCTTTATACTGAATCAGACCACTGGTCCTTGAAGGCCAGCACTGTCTACTCTGACCAGTAGCAGCTCTCCAGGGACTCAGGAAGAGGTCTTTCACATCACCTACAACCAGAGTTACCAACCTCCTGGGGGCTGGAGATCTCCTGGAATTAGAAATTATCTCCAGACTACAGAGATCAGCTCCCCTGGAAAAAATGGCTACTTTGGAGGGTGGATTCTATGGCATTATACCCAGCTGAGACCCCTCCCCTCCCCATGGTCCACCCCAAAGTCCCTAGAAATTTCCCAACAGAGTTGCAACCTTCCCCTTCACCAGCTCCTTTTAACTGGAGATGCCAAAGATTGAATCTGAAGTCTTGTACATGCAAAGCATGGAGCCACAGCCCTCCCCTTGTGTACCCCCACCCCAATTATTTTTATATGTATGTATTTATGTCTAAAATAGATGGGTGGCTGTTAGGCCAACTGTGTACGGATTTGGTCTCATTGGTATGCCTATGATAGGCAGCTCTAATTTTGCTTTTTTAATCTGACTCAGGTCCTACAGTGCTGGTGCTGATCTAGTACCTCAGTTTAATATGGAATGTGAATGAGGTGACTGAAGCGGAAATCAAGCTCAAGATGAGTTAAGCTTTTGGCCTGGGCTGCTGCTACTGGGTTTAGACCTGTGCCTGGTGTATTCCAGACTGCCGCAATGACCAGCTATGCCTTTCCAAGCTCTTGTGAGAAAATAGTGTAATTCTGTATGCTTAATTAAGATTTAGGAACTGTTGTTCGTAACCTCAGGGGTGGAATATGTTTTTCATGGGCTGCCTTTGGTAGCTGTCAGAAACTTTCAGCTGCTGCAAACAATTCTGATAGGTAAGCAGGATCTGCCCTAGTTAGCATATGGATGGCAGACCACCACGGAAGTCCAGGGTTGCCATACAGAGACAGGCAATGGCAAACCACCTCTGTCCATCTCTTGCCTTGAAAACCCTATGGGTTCATCATAAATTGGCTGCAACTCAATGACACTTTCTACTACCACCAAGCTGCAGACAGTACATTGTCCCATTGCTCCAGTATCTTTACCAGTAATGGCTGGAGCAATCTACACTTCTGACATGGTCTCTTCTCCTTTCTTTCATTCTACCTTTAATACCAGAAGTGCCTTCTTTATTGCTCCATCTGTGCCCCAATGCCATCAGAAAAGTATTGTGGAACTTGGCTTTTCCTAGGTGTACGTTAACACCTTGCTGAAGGTCTTTCTTATGTGTTACCAGGCTTTAATGGTCAAGATTTTTTTGTGGGTATTTGTGTGTGTGTGTGTGTGTGTGTGTGTGTGCATGAGCTTGCGTACCTGGACTTCTGGCAACCAGAGGTGCCTTTGATAGCCTGCTTCTGCGCTCCAAGCCCTGGTATTCCTTGGAGGTCTCCCTTCCAATTACTTGCCAGGGTTGGCCCTGCTTAGCTTCTGAGATCTGACGAGATTGGGCTTGCCTGGGCTATCCAGGTCAGGGCAAGATTTTGACAGGCATTGGGAAAATATTAATTGTACTGCATCCAGAGAAATATAGAGTTGGATTCAAGGGTGCCATTACACAAGGAGAAAAGATTTCAGCTTGTATGGGTGGAGTGGGTGTCTGCAATCTCTGTAGATTTTCCACTTGGAACTACAGCCTCCGTACTGAATCTACACTATTCCCAATGGTCCCCCAACCCTCAAGAGCACGGGAGTGGCATAGGAGGCTGCAGAAGACAGGGAGAGATTGACTTCTTCACGCAGACATTTTTAGCGACCTCATAAGGTACTTCAATATACAGAAGGTGGGCTAAGGGATCATTGCTTGCCTTAAAATGCCTAGGGAGGATGGGTGAAATTTGAGCCAGAGATTTAATGCTCATAGCTCATACTTTTTGCCACTGTCCTACCCCACCTCTCTCTTGCACACATTTATATAGAGTTTGGTATTCTGTTTCTATTTCAGTTTTCTTAAATACAATTCCCCCCTCTCCGAGCTTGCAGAAAGAACGGAGCAAGGAAATAAATAGCATAATTGCAGTGGCTTAGGCAGCTATCCTGGTTCTGCTTTGTGAAACAAATAAAATTAAGTGGGATTGTCACTGACAATTGGTCCTGTTTATGGCAATACTGCTAGTACTAACACTGAGCAATCCATCATTAAAAAGTCCCCAAATCCACAGTGACAAAAAATATTATATAGCAATTTTTATTGTTTTTAAGGGGGGGTGAAATTTAATATACACAGAACTAAAAAGCATTGCATTTTTAAACTCAACTTCTGGGTTACTTTGATGAGGCTAAACTTGGCAGCGCCCCACAAAGAGTAAACCCTCTTAGGCAGGTACTTCTACAATTTCAAAGTAGTCATTGGGCAGAATCACATAACCCCCTTTGCCCGACAGCACGTCTTTTTCCTTCTGAAACTGAACAAGCTCTCGCAGTTTTTCAATCTGTTTCTCCTGGCGCCTACATCGCTGCTGCGCAGTCTTAAGTTTCTTCCTCAGTTTGTCCACCTGCTCTTCCAGCTGCTGAATTCTTTTTCTCTGGTGTACTGTATCCTCTACAGTATAGTTGTGATCACAAAAAACAGCAATATTATTGGGGGTATGAAGCGGAGGCATTAACAATCCAATGCTTGGATCTACTAGTCTTGGATCTGTTTGTAGGGGTGGTGGAGGTGAAGGAGAAGGGGGAGATGGCTCTTCAGCTGGTTCCTGAGTGCCTTCAGCCTAAAAAAATGGCAAGTAAAGAATGGACTTTTAAAATTTGTTTTATGAAAAGAGTCTGACATGCTTTTAGGCAATAGTGGCAACAGTTTGTTACTTTAGCATAGCACATTTGAATCTACATTTAACTCTTTTCTGGTTTTCAGCATCTGTGTAGTAGCCAGTTTTAAGACACTGTTTGCTAAACTTGCGCATGCTACAGAAAGTCGTGACTGATTTAGGGAAGGTAATGCCTGGGTGTGGGAAACTGGCCACACACAAAGATTCCTTCTGTGGCCATTCCCATAAAGTATTTGCTCAATAACAGAGAGATTATTTTGCAACATAAAAGCTAATTTTATCAATAAGGCATCTAAACTGTTATGAAACCCCATTTCATCATACAATGTTGCCCAATATGTCTCTAGCCTCAGCACTCCTTAGAAAACATTTTTAAAAATCTCTTCACAAAATATAAAATCTGCAGCAGACCAAACAGAAGAAACTATTGCATGCTCTTTTTTCAAATAAAACAGACTATCACCAAATCTTTCGCACTTCCAGAAAAACAGATTATTTCCAGTAGCCATTGTTGTTATGAATCCTTCCCAGTTAGACTGCCATCCTAAGCATGGGTAATTGGAAGGAAGTCCTGATGAAACTGTTTTGATATTATTTATTAAACACTGTTGCCCACTCAGAGGATCCATTTTACTGGATTTAACAACTACCAGCAGAAGCTACAGCTGTCTTTTAGAACACAAGTCATGCAGCATTCTATTTGAGAAATTCTAATTCTAGATGGATACCCTTTTATAGCTTTGTGTCATTCATGCTGATACTATTTAAGATGAGACTTCAGGTGTTCTCTAAGATTGGAGTACCTTTTACTCGAACACAGCTAGAAAGAAAATTCAACTAGTTGTTTGACTGTTATAACCAAAGGGCTCTTCTACTTTTTGAATGTACTACAAGTGAGAACAAAGTGTAATAGACATAAAGATCAGGCAGTTGGTATACATCAGGAGTCCCAAACCCTTTCAAGTCTGTGGGCACCTCTGGAATTCTGACACAGAGTGGCGGGTGCAACTGCAGGTGGCAGAGCCAACTGCAAAATGTCAGGGAGTGACGTTATGCATAACTCTAAGTAATTCTTCAGCATTTCAAGCAGAAGCTCCATTTAAGACTGTGGTCCCCCTCCCACTCCCATCACCCTGCCCATTCCCCCATTAAGAAAAGATGTGGGATGGGGGCTTAAAGCAGCAGAATATTTCCAGCAACCTGTAGATAAAGCAAAGGAACTTTGCACTCAGATAAACTGTCAAAATCTAGCATTTTTGCAATGGCGGGGGGAAAGACAAGGTATAGCTCACACCTCATTCGCTTTCAGAATCTTGGAGAAGACTACACTGGGAATGGCCGATCATGCCTGAGAGAGGGGAGAGTGGCTAAAGGCTCTGTGGTTAGCCGCCCTGAGCCCATTGGGGAGGGCGGGATATAAATGTGAAAAATAAATAAATAAATAAATAAATAAATAAATAAATAAATATTCTTGAATCCCAATACTGGTATGGTATTCAGTTTTGGTAATGCGTGAAGCTAAGGAGGTGGTACAGTCAGGCAAAGAGTAATGTACTTCTAATATTGGTGGAGCTGGAAAGTCCTTCGGTTTTAATGAAAGTAAGAATCCAACATCTCTCTTTTTTCTTTCCAGTTAGTACATCAAGCAGCAAAAATTTAAGAATTTAGTCTCCCTCCCATCTGGTGCTGGGAAATGCTCTTCTCTTCCTACCATTTTGCTTAGAAATGACAGTGTTGCTTATACATAAACAAGCACATCTTTGAATAACAGAAGCCTTAATATATTAAAAAAAAACACCTGCTCACCTTCACATTTGGCTCAGTGTGGCAAAATATTGTTGGCACAGCATTGTCTTTCAGTAGCTTGTTATTGCATTCCCTTTTGAAGCAATCTGGAGTAAAGTGTTCTGAACAAATGCTGCTATATTTTGTTGGCTTGAAATTTTTTCTTCTAACAGCAGCTTCCCATTTCTTGCAGAGATCAGGTCTTGTGAGAGGAAATCTACAAATAAAACATAACTTCAGCACCTCTTTTAATGTTATCGTCCTTACTAATTTCCAGGGAAAATGCCCATCAGTATGGTGGGCGGGTGGTACAGCGCAAAGGGTCAGTTTATTGCTGGGGGGGGAGCATTGTTGTATACACATACACCCAGCCCACCCAGTGGTACAGGGCACAGTAGAGAAGACTCATTTTAGATGGACAATTAAGATTAATACACAAGAATCCTGATTATGATTTACAACCTGATAAACAGATAAAATATAATCAGCATAGATAAGTGATCACAATACACAATATCACAATAATATAACAACCAGTCCAGATGGCGATAACAACCCCTTTTGCCGGCTGCAGTGCTATCTGTGCAGCAGGGCAGGGAAGGGGACAAGGGGGCTGTAGGAAGAAAAGAAGGGTGCCAGTCTTAACTGCTGCTGCCCTCAACTAAAAATCTGGCGGAACATCTCTGCCTTATAGACCCTGCGGAATTGCATGAGATCCCGCAGGGCCCTGATGTTATTTGGAAGAGAGTTCCACCAGGTCAGAGCCAAGACCGAAAAGGCCCTGGCCCTAGTCGAGGACAGCTGGACCTTCCCAGGGGATCACCAGTAAGTTGTTATCAGTTGATTTCAGCTTTCTTCTGGTGGCATACTGGAGGAGATGGTCCCGAAGGCACGTGGGTCCCTGATTATGCAGTATTCACTAGGTATCAGGGGTGTGTGTTACCATATGCTCCACCATTTAACAAATGTTTTGGACATTATCCAAATAACTCAAGCACAAATGAGCAACATTAGGGCTACAATTATAAGCATACTTACTTGGATGGTGATGATACTGAACTCTACAATGATCAAGGTGTGGATCTAGCAAATACATCATTCCTTTTTTTACAATCTAGCATCCAGAAGCCCCACCAGCCTCCCCATGTTGAGAAGTCAGAATTCACATTATTTTAAGCCCAGTTCTTCTCCCAGTTCTATTCCCTTTCAGAGTTTCCAAGTAAACATTAAGTGCTTTTACACGGGAAGAAAAACATCAACTTTGTCATCACTTTAATTTAGAGTCCAACTGAAGTAAATTGATAAAAAAGGACTGCAGTCTTTTTGACTCATTAAAAAGGGGCTTGCATCGATCATTAATTCAAATGACCAAGCAGAAGAGGAAATTTTTGCAGATATCATGTAGGCATGAAAGGTGTGTGTATGAATCAAGTGTGCTGGGATGCCTTTTGATTTTAAATAGCTGGAATTTAGCAAGATATATTTCAGGCATCCAGGTACATGCCCTACTATTTACAAATGGAGATTTTACAGATATGTTTATTATGGGAGCAAACCCAAAGAGATCTGCTCAGAAGAAAGTCTCATTTTATTCACTGGGGCTTACTACCAAGAAACTGCTCTTAGACTAGCAGCCTATAATCAGTAAAACCAAGGACAAATATTTGCATTCTAAATAGTCAACAAATGTTTTCTTAACTATAAGGTATTAATTACTATTAGCAGCAGACTTCAGATAACAAGTACAAAAAAGTACCTGGTTACAAAAATATAAGTGTGGCATAGTATACAGCTGCTAAACTGCCAAGGCTCTAATTCTTATTACTAACAAAGGAAATGGTTACAGACACAGCCTCTAGTATCTAAAGGTCTTCAGGCAAACACAGATTCAGCTACTGGAAGCAGTTGCTTGAAAGATACAAATTGGTCCATCCTTCAGCAACTTCCAGGATTTACAAAAGGGGGGATTTCAAGACGCCTCATGGAATCAAGATCCCAGATCTCTGTATATTTGCATTAGCACAGCCAAGTCTGTAGGGAGGGTGGGGTTTAGAGAAGGGGATAATGCTATAGAGTCCACCCTGCAAAACACCCATTTTCTCCAGGCATGGAGAGCTCTGTAGTCTGGAGATCAGTTGTAATTTTGGGAGATCTCTAGACCCTACCCCGCGGTTGCCAACCCTAACTTGCATCACAGTAACAAGTGTTACAAGGTATAAAAGGTTTCCTTGCTCGAAAGCCAATCGAGTCCGACTCTAGGGTTGCGGTGCTCATCTCAGTTTCAAAGCCGAAGAGCCAGCGCTGTCCAAAGATGTTTCCGTGGTCATGTGGCCGGCATGACTAGACGCCGAGGCGCACAGAACGCTGTTACCTTCCCACCGAAGTGGTACCTATTTATCTACTTGCAATTTCTTGCTTTCGAACTGCTAGGTTGGCGGGAGCTGGGGCCAGAGACGGGGGCTCACTCCGTCATGCGGCACACACGGGTCTCGAACTGCTGAACTACCGACCTTCCACAGCCTGCAGTTCAGCATCTTAACCACTTGAGCCACCGCAGCTCCTTGTTACAAGGTATACTTACCTACAAAAAGAAAAGCAATTACTTCTGATACGGCTGAACCGTGGGCGACAAGTCCTCCTTCTTGAGCTTCATGGGAACATGGTTCCTCGGCCAGTTAATCCCCTGGCAAAAGGGGCTCCTACTCACCATTTGACAGTACACTTTTTATTTTATTTATTTATTTGATTTATATCCTGCCCTATCCCACAAGCAGGCTCACGGCGGTTAACAGTATATAGGTTAGCAAACATAAAAGCGTTAAACATAAAATCTCAAACAAGTTTAAATAAACAGGTAATGGCAATAATGGCAACAGGATGAAGAACAATTGGGAAATTTGAAGTAGCACGGGGGGGAGGGGGTAAATAGTTTTGAAGAGAAGGTTTCACTCTCTCAAAATGTGTAATATGAAAACTGTTGTATAATACAATCCACAGTATTAAATACCCCTAATTTCTATCAGATATGTGAAGGTTGGGAGGAGGAGGGAAAATGTGGAAAAAAATTTTTTTCATTTTTTTCTGTTTAAGGAACATTTAAAAAATTCATTTGGAATGGGTGAAATGCTTCTCAAGACAAGCTTTCACTCTTTCAAAATGTGTATCATTAACTTTTACAAGAACAGCCCTAGATAACAATTCCTGTCTAAAAAGTAGAAACAGATAACGTATTTTCAAGAATATACTTACTGTTTATGCATAAAATAATGTTCAAAAATGATTACTTAATAAATAATTCAACAATTTCAAGGTTATAAAGTTTAATTTGAAATCCAAATATGCTGTTAGATGGGGTTTACCCTAAGGCATCTCAAAGCGGCTTATAATCACATTACCTTCAAATCCCCATAACAGGCACCTTGTGAGTAGATGGAGCTAAGAGAGTTCTCGGAGAACTGTGACTGGCCTAAGATCACCCAGCAGGCTTCAGGTGGAAGAGTGGCGAATCAGACCCTTATCTCCAGATTAGAGGCCACCACTCTTAACCACTACACCATGCTACCTCCCTGTTAGTTCTTTTGTGACTATATAAGACTGTTTTTGTCCAAATAATTTGTTTTCCTTTCCTACTGCCCTGCGCCCCACACGTGCTGAGTTGAGGCACTGGACAGGCTGATACTGCTTGCCTGCAGTGGCATTGAGGGACTTTCTGGAGGCACTCGCCGCCTTCCTTCCGTGGCTCCCATGGAGAACCACAACAGCCATTTTTACATTATCTGACTTATGCAGGAGTAAATTCAAGCGCTGTGGGTGAGTGCAGGAAATTTAGCCTCCCCCCCACCCCTGGCAGAGCTTAAGGAAGGCTTTTGAAGGGGGGCCTTGAAGCCAGCGTTGTTCTGCTGCCTCCAGCCGAACGTCTTCCCTCTTATTTTTAAAATGCAGTTCTGGCTGCAGCCGCTAGGGGGCTCTAGAATCGGCTAAGCTTCCCTTTTCTTCAAGACTCAAGCAAACTTCCTTACAGATCCTGCCGAAAGCTGCGATAGTAATTGCCAGCCTGTAGGTCATTTTCCCCAATAGTCTCTCTCCCTTTCCTCGCACCCAGCTCAACCAGATCTTGCAAAGCAGTAGTTAGGGTGCTGCAGCAAGATAAAACAACCCTTCCCTCTTAATTTCTCTCCCTCTTTAATTTCCACACATTTCTCATTCATTTCTTGTCTCCCTTCAACTAATTGCCCCCCCACACACACTTTATTTTCACTTCTTGGTCTCAAGACCTTCTCACCCCTATCCTGCTTGGTGACAGAACGTATTTAAGATTACTATAGTAGCAAACCGTTCATATTATGCTGGGTGGTCTGTACATTGCACTGGTTCTGCTGGGGTGCACTTCAGTTTCTACTGCAGAGATTCTCTGGTTTGACTTTAGTCCTTTGGAAGCAATGGAGGGCGGGGGCACCTTCTTTGGGGGGTAGTGTGTTTCTTAACATCCAGTCTGGTCAAGCTTGCAATCACTCTTCTGTGGTGCTTTCACTAGTGTTAATAAAAGTTAGTACAGAGGCAGACTCCTAGCTCTCAAAAATGTTTGGGATGGTGTTTCTTGGGCTTCAAAGTGGAGAACAGAAGCCCTCTCAAGTGCTTTTGTCAAGTCACAGAGACCCTGTAGGGTTTTCAAGGCAAGAGACGTGGGGAGGTGGTTTGCCATTGCCTGCCTCCATGTTGGCCCTGCTTAGTTTCTGAGTTCTGACGAGATCAGACTATGCTGGGGTTATCCGGGTCAGGGCTAGGCTGAGAGCAATGTGACTGGCCCAAGGTCACCCAGCAAGCTTCCATGTCATGAATTGGGATTCAAACCCGGATTTCTCAGATCCTGTCCAATACTTTAAATGCTATGCCACACTGGCTCTTGTGATGGAACAGGAAGTTAACTATAATTTTTTCCCCCACTGTCTGTGTTTCTTTTCTGACCACTGAATACAAAGTTTGGGTCCAGCGACACTTTTTAGACCTAACTTTGTTCTGCTACTTCAGACCAGCGTGACTACCCACCTGAATCTATTTTCTGGCCATGAATATCATTATTCGTTTTATTTCATGAACATTACTGAAAATAATGTTGTCGTATAGAGGAGCGGCCCTGGCCTGAATAGCCCTAGTCTGGCCTGATTTCGTCAGATCTCAGAAGTGAAGCAGGGCCAACATGGAAGTAGGCAATGGCGAACCACCTCCGAAAGTCTCTTGCCTTGAAAACCCCACGGGGTTGCCATTAGTCAGCTGTGACTTAAAGGCAGAGCAAATATATATATATAGAGGGGGGGGTGTTGAGTGTTAAAAAATTACCTGCTCCGGGCACCAAATAGACTAGGTACGCCACTGGTTCTTTGGATTGCACAAAAATCATTAATATGCCAACCAGTGTTCCCTCTAAGCTGAGTTAGTGTGAGCTAGCTCACAGTTTTTTAGCCTCCGGCTCACACATTTTTGTCTTAGCTCAGGAAGGAGGGCTCCAGAGCAAAGTAATGTATGCTGGAGCCAACTCGCTCACTCACAACTTTAATGCCAGTAGCTCACGAAGTAGAATTTTTGCTCACAAGACTCCACAGCTTAGAGGGAACATTGAACTTGTATAATTTCATATGCTGACCAAGTTATAAATGATGTATTTAATGTTCTTTTGGGGGGGGGGGTAGAAAAAACCCACCCATCCCAGCTTCAAAATCCAACTTGAGTCTCAGTGAGAAAGGTGGGCTATAAATAAACTAAACAAATAAATGTGTCTTCCTTATTACAAATTTCGTAACTAGGGTTACCATATTTTGAAAAGCAAAAAAGAGGACATATTTCTCAAATGACTACTTCAAACAAGTGATCACTATGACAAATATCATTTTAAATACTCCTACTATTTAAGCTGTGATAATTGCTACCAATTAGGAATATTCCTAACCTTCCCACCCAAAAAGAGGACATTTTCATCAGTTTTATAAAAACAGCCCAAAAGAGGACGGACACAAAAAAAGGGCATGTTCTGTAAAACTCTTTTGAACAACCACACAACACTCTGGATGCTCTCTGGGGTGGTTATGGCATTTCTCAGAAAGGAACATGTTGCAAGAGAAACTCCAGTCTCAAACTTAGCCTCAGGTTAGGGAGAAATAGCTCCTACAAGCTATAAGCAGCACCCACATTTGCCAGATAACAGCAGAAAACTAACACTGGAGACTCATAACATAGAAGTTCCACTATTAATGATATTGTGCTGGTTGCTGAATAAGAACAGACAACGGGATTCTTAGTACAGTAATATCTTTCAAGAGATGGTTCTGCACTTAAGTGAAGATATGGTTGAAAGATGGAAAGGAAGAATAAGATGAAGCATTTAGCCCCTCTTCAGCTGTTAATGATACTGCTGGATCCTTGAGCCAATTACACTGCTTTTAGGACAGTGGGAACCAGTGTTCCCTCTAAGCTGAGTTAGTGTGAGCTAGCTCAGAGTTTCTTAGCCTCCGGCTCACACATTTTTGTCCTGGCTCAGGAAGGATGGCTCCAGAGCAAACTAATTCATGCGGCAGCCAGATCGCTCGCTCACAACTTTAATGCCAGTAGCTCACAAGGCAGAATTTTTGCTCACAAGACTCCACAGCTTAGAGGGAACATTGGTGGGAGTCCCATATTATTTATTATTAACAAATATTATATCCACTTTTCTGCCCTCAAAAGGGCCACCAAGGCGACTGTTTACAACATCCATGATTAAAATCACATTTTAAAACCATAAAAATCAACTCCCCCAAACACAGATCATTGAAACAAATTAAAAACAGTTAAAATACATACAAAGACATAAAAACAGAAACTAAAACATTGGTCACGAAGGAGGCATCCCTATAAATGCCATAAATGTTATCATAGTCAAACATATTTTCAAGAAACTGAAATGTATGTTTGGCACCTGTAGCTGAAGAAGAAAAAAATATAACAGAGCAATACTTGTGGTATTTTTCCACCCTTTTGAGACCCTGGATTCAGAGATACAGTAAGGTCCCCACATCCTAATGCAGTTAGCCAGTCATGGATTTTCTCAGTGGGTGGGTTGTGGAGGGAATGAGAGGGTTGTATAGTTTCTACCAGACTCAGCAAGCAGAAGTGAGGAGGGAAATTATAAAAACACAATGAAAACCGGGGGGGGAGGAGGGGGGTTTGAAGAGAAGAAACTGTGGTGCAGATCTATACTACAAGAGAAAGAGCAAGGAGGGCACGGTGGTCGGAGCCAGAATGGTACACTGGTTGGACTGCCATTCCAGGAGCCCCACGGTTAAATCCCCAGTCTGCAATAGAAACTCACTGGGTGACCTTGGGCCACTGACACGCTCTTAACCCAACAAACATACTTCACAGGATCACTCTGAGGACAAAACGGATGAGAGAATCATGTTGTAAACAGGCGATATTGTAAGCAGGTTACAACAATCTAAATCAGGGGTCCCCAACCTTTTTGAACCCATGGACATCTTCGAAATTCTGACACAGTATGGTGGGCACAAAATGGCTGCCACAGGAAGTGGCGCCAACCACAAAATGACTGTCACAGGGGCGGAGCCACACACAGAGAAGAATAAAACCACCAATGTGGTGGAACTGTGGTGCAGATCTATACTACAAGAGAAAGAGCAAGGAAGGCACGGTGGTCTGAGACAGAATGGTACACTGGTTGGACTGCCATACCAGGATCCCCACAGTTAAATCCCCAATCTGCAATAGAAGCTCACTGGGTGACCTTGGGCCAGTGACACGCTCTTAGCCCAACAAACGTACTTCACAGGATCACTGTGAGGACAAAACGGATGAGAGAATCATATTGTAAACAGGCGATATTGTAAGCAGGTTACAACAATCTAAATCAGGGGTCCCCAACCTTTTTGAACCCATGGACATCTTCGAAATTCTGACACAGTATGGTGGGCACAAAATGGCTGCCACAGGAAGTGGAGCCAACCACAAAATGACTGTCACAGGGGCGGAGCCACACACAGAGAAGAATAAAACCACCAATGTGGTGGCAGTGACTCCTGAAACAACATTAATCAGACGGCCAAACAGAAGCCTTGCTGGGTAGGAGTCCTATCTGACACCACCCACTAAAAACCCTTGGTGGACACCAAGAAAGGTTTTAGCAGGCACCATGGCACCCACACACATCATGTTGGGAACCCCAGATTTAAATATAAATAAAAGAGGCCTGTGGTGTAGGAACAGGGGAATGGCTGAGGGAATTAGGTGCACAAAGGTGTATGGGTGGGGAAAGTGACAAAGGAATCTTGTGGCACTTTAAAGACTAACATTTTTTTCCAGCATAAATTGACCATGGAGTCTGAAGAAATGGGCTCAAGCACCCAGTACTTTGAGATATGATTTTGTTAGTCTTTGAGGGTTCCTTGTTTTATCGGTCTTCAACAGACCAGCACGGTTATTATTCCCACAAGGTGGGAAAATACAAGTAGGGTGCCTACCTGTGGTGGCGCAGAGAGAAAGCCGTATTGGTGCAGTAAAGGAAGCCCTTAGGAACAAAGTGGGAATCTGCATGGCTACTCAGAAAAGAAGCACAGAGACCAAGTAAAGGTTTATTAATAGAGAATGTGTTCAGTACTCATGGGGTTAACAACGATTTTTGGCACATCAAACAAATGAAAAGGTTTATTATTGCAGAATGTCTTGTTTATGAAACAGCTGAGAAAGTTGATACCACAATAAATCTGTCAGTCTTTTCAGTTTCCACAAGCCACTGTTTTGTTGTCACTGATTAACGGGGCTTTAAAAATATGAGCATATTTTTTATTTCTATTAATTTCTATTAATAAAATAGCGATGTGACCGCACTCGATTCTTTTAAGGGGCTCTAACAACGACTGGAGTTGTGCGCTACAAACTGCGAGGGCAAAAACAGAGGAACACGCGCGCCCGCGTCTCTTCCCGCCAATAAGGGATAACCCCCCCCTTAAAAAAAAAACACGAAGGGGGTGCGCACGCGATTTAGCTCCGCCTTCTCTAATTTAAGGCCGCGCGCGATCCTTTTTTTAACGTCTCGACTCAACGTTCAGGGGTAGCGCGCATGCGCGCGCTCAGGCACCACCTTTCCCTTTCTGGGGGGAGCGCGCGCCGCCTCCATTTCCCAACCGCTCGGACGGGAGAGGAAGCGGGGGCGCGCTTTCTCTCGCCCTCCCTCCCGCTGCTGCCCCCACCACCCTGTACCCCAACTCACTTATGGAAGGAGATGGGCTTCTCTTTGTCATAACGATTCCGGCAACGGTAGGCAGAGCAGGATTGCACCATCCTCTAGTCGCCTCTGAGCCGCCACCGCCGTAATTTTTCAGGCGCTCGAAAACCCCGGTAAAAGGCTGTGCAGTTTCCAATACCACACTGAAGCCCTCGCGCCTCTTTTCACTTGTTACCAAAACCAAAAAACTAAAAATAAAAATGAAGAACGACATAAGTTGGATGTGGCCTCTCCCTACTTCAACATGGCGGTGCCAGCTTCATGCCAAGTCTCGCGAGAACTCCACATCGCTGTTAGATGATGGTCAACGCCCCAACCCCCCGACGTTTGGGTGCGCCGCAGCCCTGCTCAGAATGCCCAATAGGAAGGAGCGGTTCGTGTTTTGAATCCGCCCGTTTTGGCTCTCGAGTTCGAAAACGTACATGCGTACGCTTGCGCACTAGCTTCCTTCTCTTTTCCGAAGGACTGGTACGGAAAGCTAGTTTTCCCTGTGCGTCTGCAATAGCTTTTAATTTACATAATTTTAATAGTAGCAGTAGAAATACTGTGCCCTACGAATGTGTTCTTTACTACTACTCATTGAATTTAGTGGTGCTTACTCCCAGATTAAGGCTTTTGTTTGAAGTTGCAAGAACTTGTACACGAAATAATTTGTGTGTATTGCTGTCAGCAGAAAACTACTGATCGCATTTACTTGGGAGTAAACCCCCTTGAATACATTGAGGCTTACTTGGATTGGCCCCATTTCTTTAGTTTATACCCTGTACTCTACTGCATACGACGGAGCTTTGAACCAAAATGCAACCATAAGTCATTAGAAATAAATGTGTTGGGGGGGGGGGTTAGATGTATGTGTTATAGAGGGTTGCCAACTTCCAGGTGATAAGTAAGTATGTAAGGGAAGAGAGATCAGTTCCCCTGGTAAAAATGGCCACTTTGGAAGGAGGACTCCATGGCATTATGCCCCACTGAAGTCCCTCTCCTCCCCAAACCCTGCCCTCTTCAGGCTACACCCTCCAAATCTCCAGGTATTTCCCAACCTGGAGTTGGCAACCCTAGCCAGTCAGAGTTCACTTCAGATCTGTATAAAGTAAAAACTCATTTCAATAACAAAAAACAGAAGAAGAGATTGGATTTATACCCCGCCCTTCACTACCTAAAGGTATCTCAGATCGGTTTACAAACTCCTTTCCCTTCCCCTCCCCACAACAGACCCCCTGTGAGGTAGGTGGGGCTGAGAGAGCTCTTGACAGAAACTGCTATTTTTCAAAGACAGCTCTAATCAGAACTACGGCTTGCCCAAGGTCATCCAGCCAGGTGCAAGTGGTGGAGTGGGGAATCAAACCCGGTTCTCCCAGATTAGAGTCCACGCACGCCTAACCCACTACACCAAACTGGCACCAAACCTTGCCTATTCTCTTCTCAAAATTCAACACCATGACTTTCAAATGCCCCAAGACAAAGAGTGGTAAATATTCCATAGCTAATGGTGTAGTAGTCTGCGGGTTCTGGCTGCTTGTTGATATCAGCTCCTCTTCACACAGAAGATTATTTGTCAGAATGGGTGTGGTCCAGTGTTTGTGCTGAAGATACACCTAGCAAGTTAAGTAATTTCATTGCTCCCACACAATGAGAAATAAAGAGCAAGAGAGATTTCTCTATCAAGTCTTCAGTCACCTTCCCCTAATTGCTCTGCCAGCACAACCACATCTACCATCTGCTGCAGCTACACTTATCCCAAGAGCTCTTTCCAGTAGTTAAAGCCAGGACCAGTGACATTAATTGCCTTATACTTGTTCCTAACCAAGAAAGGTGCCGTGGCAGCTGAACACATGGCACCTCCTGCTCTCCCTAAAGGCACGGGGGGAAAAAGAGAATGAATCAGACATTCTCAGTCAATGTCATTCTGGTTTGGCAATTCTTACATGACAATGAGCATGGCCTTGGCCAAAAGGCTCTATTTACATGAATCTTCCAAAAACCACAATGAATTAAGTGCTGCTAATGGGAACATGGTGCACCTCTATGAAAAGTTTACCACACAATCCTGCGTCCATGTTCCTGTATCATCGCTGTCTCTCCTTGGAGGCTACAGCTGTGGGCATGGAAATGGGCCAAAACAGAGGTCATTTTGGGGGGGATCGCAGTTCCCCCGGGTGAGGTACGGGGGGCGGGGCACATGACGAAGCCCCGCCCCCCGCTTCCGGCCGCCCTGCTTCCAGCCCTCATTCAGCCAGGAGGCAGGAGAAGAGGGAGAGTAAGTTGCTTCCTCCCTGCCTCTCCCCACCCATGCCTGCCTGGGGCCAGGGAGGGCCTTCGCAGGGCTTCCTTGCACTCCCGCCAGCCTTGCAGGTCCACCTCCGGGCCCCTCATGGGGCTCGGCAGTGGAGCTGCAAGGCCGCCGCTGGCGGCCAGGACCGTTGGGGGCGGGGTGTGTGGCCTTATGACACACTTCCGGTGATGTCAGGGGGTGTGGCCTTAGGACACACTTCCGGTGATGTCAGGGGGTGTGGCATATGCTAATGAGTTATGATAATGAGTTCCCCTAGCTCTTTTTCTACGAAACGACCCCTGGGCCAAAACCTTTTGTTCCAAAGGCCACACTGAGACAGAGAAGCCATTCGATGGACTGGGCAAGAACAGTGTCTTCTTCATTCCAAAAGGACGATGGTTTCAATATTGATGAAAATGGGTAACTCAGCCTCTCTGCCGTCTCCTTCTTCCTCACTGTCTTACTGATTTTGTTCTATGATCCTCCTTTCTATGCCACACTTACCCAGCCACTGTAGGGCCAGTAAAAGGGTATAGTCTCTCCTCTTTATGGATAAGAATCTGGGGCATTGTGGGTACTGGCTCCACATCACTTTAGGCATGCCTGTATCGACTTCTGTGCACATCATCAGAGACACAGAGCGACAACATTTATTAAAAACAGTCATAAGACCAACACAATAAACCGAAGTAGTACAACACAGAGTCTACGACATAGGCTCCTTACAACCATATTTCTTATAATGTCAAACCAGTTAATACCATCATTAATGGCTCAAGTTACAGTACATTCTGCGTTTTCTAATTACCAAGTAACAATATTTAGCAACATTGCGTGAGACAGAATCAGAGCTGACCTGGGCACTTGGAAGCCTCTGACTTTGTATGTAAGATGAAAATGGTCTCTTGGATGCCCTTAGTCCATATGGTAGGGGCAAAATGGTGTAGCAATCTATTCATGTTTTCCCTGTAAGTAGCCAAGTTCCTGTTAAGCCTAGGTGCTTTTAGCAGCACACACTGCCGGGCATACGAAGCTACCTAATAATGACCTTCTACGTGAAAAGCATGGGCTGACCTACAAACTAGAGTGATAACCTGTGTTGTTGTTGTTCAGTCGCAGTCGAGTCCGACTCTTCGCGACCCCATGGACCAGCTCCCGCCAGGCCTTCCTGTCTTCCACCGTCCTCTGAAGTTGGCTCAATTTCATGTTCGTTGCATCTAACCATGTCATCCTTTGCCGTCCCCGTCTTCTTTGACCTTCAATCTTTCCCAGCATCAGGGTCTTCTCCAGTGAGTGCTCCCTTCTCATTTGGTGGCCAAAGTATTTGAGCTTCAGTTTCATTATCTGGCCTGTAGTTACATGCTAACAGTGCAGTCCAAAGCAGAGTTACACCCTTCTCAGCCTATCAGCAGCAATGGACTTAACAAGAATGCAACTCTGCTTATGAATGCACTGTAACTGGATTTTTAGGAACAACTACAGAGCTATCAGGACCATAATAAGTAGCTCTAAATAATTACAACAAACTAGAACTCCATATCCAACGAAATCCACAGCCTTAGATGCACCTAACTGCATAAAACCAGGTTAATAGTTGCATGGAGCAAAGGGGATGTGTTACAACTATTATTTACTATTTACTTCATCAATATCCTGCTTTTCTCCCCAATGGGGACTCAGCCTAGCTTACATTGTTCTCTTCTCCGTTTTATCCTCACAACAGCCCTGTGAGGTGGCATAGGTTGACTGTGTGCAACTGGCCTAAGGGCAGCAAGCTTCTTTCCGAGAGTGTGGGTTCAGATCTCGGTCTCCCAGATCCAAGTCCTCCTAAATTCTGTCCACTGAGAAAATATGTGTAATGCTGAGCTGTAAAAGTGCTGCATCTGTCACTGTAACTTGCAAACGTCTGCCATTGAAGATCATGGTAGGACTGTCATGAGCTTCATAAAAAGGAAATATCACCTCTACAAATTGGGGGATCTTGACCTGCAAGCCTATGCAAGCTTATTTGCAGATCAGCCTGATTGAACCTAGTGGGATTTATGTGCATATGACCAGGTCAAAGAACACTGGAAATGATGGGTGTTAATCTTGGCAGGGCTGTATAAGCAGCGGACTTGCGGTCCCAATGACAGAGTTTCAAGAGTAAGGGAGAAAACCTCACAGGGGAAAGGGGCGAGTCCCTCTATCTGACCCTTGCGACGACACGATCATAAATACGGGGCAATGCTTCCCGCCCCACCGTTTTCCCGGATGCAGCCCCTTTCTCCTCATTCTGCACAAATAAAGCGAAAACCCGTCCCAACTGAGAAAGTAATGCCAATTCTACGAAGCCCGTTCGAAATGGCAAAATTAGTTTTTCGCGTAGGGCAACAAAAAAAACTTTCCCAACACTTCTGGAACATCACATCGCACGACGAGACACGTTCCGAAAATCCCAACGAGAGGCTACGAAAGCTCCCCCCCCCCCTTTACCCGGTTGCAAAAACGAGCACGTGTTCTAGCCGCTTCGGGAATATTTTAAAAGTATGTGTAACACCCCCACCCACCCCCCATTCTCTCCAAAGACCTCCCATAGTGGGGACTCGTGGGATCACGGGTGGTGGTGGGGGGTGTCTAAAAAGCACCCCTCCCTCGGTGCCTGCCGCCCCACCTTCTCTCCGGAGGAGACGCGCCCGCCTTCCCAGCGTGGCGAGTTTGTTTTCGTCTTCGCCTTGTGTTCGCCGAGGGAAGGGAAGGGAAGGCCGCTGTGCGGCGCTCGCCTTGCCGGAGCCTAGAGGGCAGTGTGGCCGCAGCCAGGAAGGGCGGAGCGGCAGGAACTGCTAAGGCGAGGTGATTTGACATCAGTTCCTCTGGCTGGCAGGGAAAAGAGTTTTCTTCCCGTAAATGCCACAAGTCGAACGCGCCGAGCCCCGGGCGGCCGCCCTAGGGCGGGAGATGGTGAGCCGACGCCGCCCGTGAAGAGCGAGCTTTGCAGCAAGAACTGCAGCCAGGGGCCGTGAAGCGGCGGGGCCGGGAACGGCGGACTTCTCCTCTCCCGCCCCCCCTATCCCCGGGAGCGCCAAAAAGTCCCGCTTTCGCAGCGTCGGAGGGAGGGAGGACTGCAGACCCGCCGCCGCCGTCCCACCCAGCATGAGCAGCGGCGGCGGGCGCACGGGCGCCCGAGTGGCCGTGAAGATGGAGGTGGCGCCTTTCTACGCCGAGGAAGGGCTGGAGCTGCTCCCGGACTTCGTGCAACTGCCGGGCTTCGGCGGCGGGCCCGGCGCCGGGGGAGCCACGGGGCTGGCGGCGGCCGAGGACAGCGGGGCGGACCCACACAAGCTGCTCCTGGCCGGGAAGAAGCCGCCGCGGGACTTGGTCGGGGCGGCTTCCCCCAGCGCTGTCCTGCCTCCGGCGGGGCCCTTCGCTTCGCTGCGCCCCCGGGTGAGCGCCGTGCACCGCCTCATCCCAGAGACGCCGGTCAGCGGCGGGCCGGAGGTGGGCCCGAGCGCCTTGCAGCCTTTGCTGAAGCTGCCGGCCGCCGCCGACCTAGAGCAGCTGCTCATCCAAGCGGGTAGCCCGGGCCTGGCCGGCCCAGCCAGCCCCACGGGTGGCGGGCCCTCGGGGGCGGGGGCCGCCGGCGGGCCCTTCCTCTACCGGCCCCCGC